TATTTCTGGATAAAGAATGTTTTGAGCAAAGGTGGATTCAAGCCCCCCCCCCAGCCTTCATTTTTTTAAGGAAAAAAAAAAGAAAAATATATTCAAATTGAAGTGCGAGAGTATATTCAAATTGAAGTGCGAGAGTGTAATTTCCGGCCATCTAGAGATGCCTTAATCATAAATTTTCCCCAACCATGGTGGGGCTGAGCTGGGTGATTCCTCGGTCTGTGAAAGTTCCTCCCTGGTTCACCTCTCTTTCGAATTCCTGGATCTGCCACTGTTGAATTATTATATAATTATTTTTGCGCTTATTTATAATGCGTCTATTGCAATTTTCACTTTATCCTCTCAAACAGTCCTAAAAACGTTCAAAGTGCGCTACTTCAGAGGGGATTTGACCCCGCCGGGGTCATACGTAATTCGCATAAAGGCTTCCCCCCCCCCCTTTCAAAATCCTGGCTACGTCCCTGCTTGAGACCATCAATCCCCTCCCCATGTCGATAACGCCACTATACAGTGACTAAACTGTTCAATGGCGTATTCAGGGGGTGCTCAGGGTGAATGAGCATTCCTTCAGAGGTTGAAAACTATAAAAGGAATTACTGATTGGCAAGAATTCTTCTTTTTCTTCATCATCATTTTCTTCTTCTTCTACTTCTCTTCATTTTTTTATTTTTTAGGGTTCTTTTGGAATATTAACTCTACGTGGAGTTAACGTACCAAAAGTTGACTTTCCTAATGTTTTGAATACGTTAGGTCATGGCTCATAACGAAAATTATTATATTCATATATATTATAAACTTTGACTATGAAGACAAGCCACCAGTTGAAAAATCGCTTGCATGCGTCTTTGTAACGTATTCCTTTTTATAATAAGGTAAAATAAAGTCTTTTAGTGTTTTTACCGTTCATATTTATTTCCTATCAAATAGCAAATGGAATCATCCCTTGACAAACTCCCCCCCCCCAAAAAAATAGCAATAAAATAAACACTTTAATTGCTTTATTTTATTTCTTAGATTTAGTACGTTAGCTTTTAATTAAGCAAAATTGAAACAATAAAATGTTTCTAACTAATTAAAATACGCAAACTAATTCAAAATAATAATAATAATAATAATAATAATAATAATAATAATAATAATAATAATAATAATAATAATAATAATAATAATTCAAACCAATCAAAAAGAAATGACGAACAAACATTGTTATTCATTTTCAAGCAAATTATCGAGACGACGCTCAGTGTGGAGCCGGTTTTCCTGCACCTAACGGCGAAGATGCGATTTGTCCATGCGCCTGTTGTTCGGAGTGGAATTGGTGTGGGGTAACTGATGCCCATTGTTTATGTGACAAGTGTTTAGACCACAGGAATCTGTCATGCCCAACAACACCACCACCACCACCTACGTTACCACCAGGTAAGACACTGTGTAACTATAAATGGGCAATATCATTGCGTAAAAGATGGAGGAATTATAGTCACGGGCGTCGATCCGTGGTTGAAAGTCACGGTGGGGTACAGAAGCAACGTACCAGTAGGTTCATGAACATTTATTTCCATAACATTTTCAGAATGTGCCTCATAAAAAGCGTATCAATTTACCTAGTAATCATAATCATAGGCCCGCTTTGGTGCCAACTCAACGTTCATAAAAATATTAATGATTTTCTTATTTATTATTTACTAATTAGCTCATAGTAAATGTTTTCTAACCATAAAAAAACAAATAAAAAAGAACTTGAAATAGTCACTCTAACTGAAAAACTTTTTTGTACGGCACTGAAAATTGGCAAGAAAAATTATTTATTTTTGAGAGTTATGTTCCGATGGCCGGATCAAAATTTTTGGCGGGCCGGCGTTTGCCCGCAGGGGTTAAATACCGTACCGGGATCCTATCATTATTACTATATTAGGTTTTTCATTTTTGAGTTAGGCTTACACAAACAGTACGGTAACAATTACAATAATTTCACCATCAATAATAAAAGATATTATTTGTCAACGATAGTGATAACGATAATAAAAATACCAATATCGATAATAATGTTATTAATGTTTTTTCGTAAATTTGTGTGTATGATCTTTCTGGTTAGATGTCACTTTTTATATTTTTATTGTTTAACAATTTTTTATCTTAATTTTGTAAGGAATTTTAATGTATTGTAAATCACATGCATTTCAAATTTTAATTTACTGCTATTTGTGATGAAAGAAAATGAATGATAATTATAATATTCAAAAATTCATTAATAAAATAATAGTATTAATAATAATAATAATAATTATAATAATAATAATAATAATAATAATAATAATAATAATAATAATAATAATAATAATAATAATAATAATAATTCATACTAATCAAAAAGAAATGACGAACAAACGTTGTTATTCATTTTCAAGCAAATTATCGAGACGATGCTCAGTGTGGAGCCGGTTTTCCTGCACCTAACGGCGAAGATGCGATTTGTCCATGCGCCTGTTGTTCGGAGTGGAATTGGTGTGGGGTAACTGATGCACATTGTTTATGTGACAAGTGTTTAGACCACAGGAATCTGTCATGCCCAACAACAACACCACCACCACCACCTACGTTACCACCAGGTAAGACACTGCGTGACTATAGATGGGCAATATCATTGCGTAAAAGATGGAGGAATTATAGTCACGGGCGTCGATCCGTGGTTGAAAGTCACTAATAATAATAATAATAATAATAATAATAATAATAATAATAATAATAATAATAATAATAATAATAATAATGATAATGATAATGATGATGATGATGATGATGATGATGATGATGATGATGATGATGATGATGATGATGATGATGATAATAATAATAGAAGATGGATTTATATAGCGCAGATAAACGAGGTCTCTATGCGCTCGGGACTAGATGTTGCACTTTCTCCTCCCCTAAGGGTCACTTCATGTCCACCGCAGTCAGTAAACTGGCGCACTTCCATCTGTCCAGACAGGGGCCGAGTGAACCAGTCACCGGGGTAATATTATTAAACATTAGGGCAGTTCTATTGCGAGTGGAAATCCATTTATAGCGTCTAATTTACGACCAAACAGTAAACAATGTTGTTTATGTACAGTAGCACCTTGGTTTGAATAATTGATTTGAAACATTAACTTTTTTCTAGCTGAAGCTAGGCCTACCATCTTCAATAAACAATCAAGTGATTCAAATATACTTGTTATGTCAAAGCAAGGTGCTATCCGTTATATTTGTTTTTCATTAAATAACCTTATTTTGTTGTCACTTAAAATTTATATTTTACTGAATGTTTGCACATTACAGAAAAACCCATATTTGCTGTGGGCTATAGGAACCTCATTGGCAAGTGTTTGTTGGACGCAAGTGGAGCAGTAATGCAATTATACACAAGAAGTGGGAGCCGGTGCGCACGCGCATGTCTTGCATTCATTTCAGAGTGTAATTCCTTCGGGTTTGATCAGAGACTTTCAAGGAATTCTGATTGTTTCCTATACAACACAACATCTTGGGAGCTTGTAGACGTTGAGACTAATGTCAATGAAAAACCTGAATGCCTTTTCTATGTCACGGAATATAAATGATGACACAGTAAATCTGTAATTAGAAGGCCTTTATTATTATGGCGTCATGATTTCAAACTCATCCACGCAAAAAATGAAGAATGAGGGCGTAAACATGCAAATAGTTTATAATAATACAATTTATTTCGAAATTAAAACAATACGGTAGCTGTCATGTACATTTTAATTTAAATTTCAAACTGTGGACGAAAGACTTCGCCATTAGAAAATTATACGTTCAAAAAATCTTTCTTCAAACATTGCTAAAACGAAATATATTTTATAGGCCTCAGTCAAAGTATGACTTGTGTGCTCCGATTAATAATGCTGAAAATGTTAGAAGCAGTTCACTACACTACTATATTAGCGATGATTTGCAAGAGCATATGAGAAAATGTATAAACTAATATAATTAGTCCACGATTACATAAAATTATGCGTCTTTTTACGATCGATATATGCCTAAGTGATATATCACTGCTTATTCTTCTGATATCGTTTTTTGTTTTGTTTTCTGATAATATATTTCGAATGCCAAAGCACAATCATTATCAATACACTGCGTGAATCTTTTTTTAAAATAAATATTACATCAATTATTATATATTTTATATTGGTCCAAGTAATACTGTTTATTGTTCTTAAAGTTTAATAGGACAGTTCAGAGTACAAACTTAAATTGTTACCATTGTAAAAGACAATGACGACGACCCACACATAGCTTAAAATATATCTGGGTTGATATTGACATGCGCTGACATGTTTTCTACATGATGTAAAATCGTTGGATGAAAATATCGCAATTATAGTAATAGAACAGGAAGAAAATATCAATGTTTTTTAATAACAAACATTTATCTAATTTCTATTTTCCTCACTCATAGTAAATGCGTACGGTACTACTTATTAGATTGCAATTACATTAGACTAAAATTATATTTGAAATGAATATCTTTCAGTAAAGAAAGGTTATAATAGGTCCTGGAGCAATGAAAGACATACAACATATAATCATTTGACGCTAAGTGCCCGAGTCTCTTGTTATGTCCGGAGCACATCTTCATTAACAGTCACGCCGAAGTTTGCACTGTAAACGAATTACCAATTGGCATTTTGTGAGCTTTAAAGAGGTTTCCTGGTTGTTAGTGCTCTTGTAATACACCCGTTACCCCCGACAGCATGTACCTATAAAAAAATGATTACTTTTGAACGAAAACAACATTGGAATGCCACTCAGGGGCGGATCCAGCCCGGTAAGAGGGGGCGTGAATGTTCGAACCGAGTGAGAGTCTCTCTGGAAAGAGCCTTGGTAGGGGTGCTAGGGAGATTCTCCATTAAACCTCTAGCACCTTCATTAATTTGAGTTGATATTTGATAGATTTTTAATATTTAACATGGTAATTTTCGGATAAGCTTTACAAAACATTTTTTTACAAAGAAATAGACGAGGCGTACGCCCCTTACGCCCCTCTAAATCCGCCACAATCACTCATAAATTATAAGCATATTTATTAGAGATATTTAGTACCGTAGTAGATATGAACATGAGAAAATAAAATTTACTGGGCATGAGGCTGGATCATTAACATGGAAAATAAAGGAAAGAAAGGAAAAGAAAGTCATTAAGCTATAGTGCTTTGGAAAAGATTACTCAGATGCTCAAACTAAATGTGGGTGAAGAATTGAGAGCTAAAAAGGATCACTGTTGAGCCATAATCACCATCGTTCTTGAAGTAATTAAAGAAAATATTTCCAAAAAAGTACTTTTTATTGTTTGTCTATTACCTTAATTTTGCCTGTTAAAATGTTGATGAAGCTACGAAATAGGTCTGTATACAAACTTAGATATATTTTATGGTTTAGTTGAAATGTTTTCTTGTTATTATCGGGCCTATTGAAAACTTTTAGTGAGCTGATCGATAGAATATCTCAATATAGGTAAAAATAAAATACTTTAAGATACCTTTTCGTGCCATGTTAGTAGAACCGAACATGACTGGGTTGAGGGAGCTTCAAAGCCTTTGTAGATATATTGCATTAAAGTGTCCAGCATTTCCTGATCAAGAGATCGAACCGCTTTCTCAGTTTCAATCGACTTAAATGACGACAGAACTTTTGTAACTAATGAGGAACACATTTTCTGTTAAAAAAAAATCTATTATTGCAAATCAAACTATTTTAATTACTGTATAGTATACATTTATTTGTTGACGTTTATCATGAGTATTAAAAATATTGAAATAGAGAGACATTTAGAAATACTTATGAGAGGGAAGTTGTGGAACAAATGGGGGATATTGATGAAATAAAATCGCCCAACGATTATTGAATAAAACTCAATAAATTGCCAGGTTTGATGTCTTCTATTTTTACAATGTCATTTTATATAATTGCGTTAATTTTTTTCGCTGTAAAATATATTAGAGCTATGGAGCGCCGAAGGTTACGCGAGGGGGTGGGGGAAAGGGGTGGATGGGCATAATCCTGTGACAATGGTGAATGTGTTTTATATCACTTGATTAACTAAAATTATATAGGCCAATCCATATACTTTACCCGGAGTGTTTCGTTTTTAGAGCCATACGGTGGATTTTGAAGAACAGCTTGCAGTGCTTCTTGTTTCTTTCCAGTATTTCAAGGGTTAAGGTGTAGAAGTGTTAACATAACATATATTTATACAGTAAATGTTCCCGGCACTCTGACAGTGATTTATTTCACTATTTTTAGTTCATCCACTGATTCATATGGTGAAGCACACGGACCAAAATTATTTTTTTCCAAAATTATTTTTTTTTTGCATTATTAAATAATTGTAGGTCTACTGTGAGTGTCATGTTTAAATACAAAATAATCTAAATTCAAATAATTTTCTAAACAAATATTTCTTCTATATTAAATAGGCCTACTTTGTATTTCTTCCTTTAAACTTCGGAAAAGAAGTGCAAGATAGGCCTGCAGCCTAACGTGGTAGCTCCAAATCAAATCAACATGGTTCAAAATTCGCCGTCCTATACCATGAGAGACACTAACCCCAATAAAATAACGTTCCACCCCTCTTTCCCAAACATTCACCCCATATCCATATAATATATTAATGACAGTACGGTACCCGATAAAAACCACACAGAAATGTGGATATACCAAAGGATATCCGTTGAGGAGTTCCATCACACGTGTCCTGTCAGGTCCAGTGGACCCAATATCTTCAATATTATCGAAGTAGGCATTTTCATCGAAATCCTCAATATTCACGGCACGAAATCGTGAGTTTCCAGTAGATTTTGACATATTCCGAATTCTGCTAAACGTAGCCCTATGTCTAGTGTTAATAATCAATATACTCTGTGACGGTGTGGGTCTACCTGTAGTATTGGCCCGTACTGTACATGGTAAGATATTTGGACTTTGACTTCAAGTAGGCTTATTTCAGATAACAAAATATATTTCTATGGGCACAGGCAGTGTGAATCAACAGTGTTGGTTTGGGATTGCGTCTATAAAAATACATATCATCATTATCCCCAGTCCCTAATTTCCAGAAACCGCATCACCATCACCTATCACACCTGTTGCATGCTTTCTGGATATAACTAAAGCATTGTTAGAAAACTATCGGAGGCCTACTTACTCGCAAAGGTTGAACATGATAGTCTCAAAAATGAGGATGGGCCCTGTACTTCCGATGATGGTGAGTGGCTGGCCAGAAAACAGATGGTACATGATGCCACATATAGCAGCACCTAAGAGACTCTCGAAGGCAGCCTATGAGGCAAGGTTAGTGATAAAATTGTTACTTTTCTTTTGAAATGTGTACAAAATTATTTAAACTATCATTACCATAATCATTATCAACATTCATATTTGTCGTCGCCGTCATCATCTAATTATCATTACATTTAAATTATTGTTATCGTCATCATGATAATTATAATTATCATTATAACTGTCACCATTGTCATCATCATCATCGTTATTATTATTATTATTATTATTATTACTATTAGTAGTAGTATTATTAAACAAACATTTAAAGAAACTTGCAAAAGGATAAAAACGAAATTGAACCACAGTATCGCATTTCTATCTTAAAAGACCTGGCCTGTGATTTATGGATTTAAGATTTTTTTAATCACGCTTAGGCCTATGTGTTCTATTATGCCTACGTATAACGTGTACTGATGCATATTTATATGTTTAGAAGTATTTATTTTGAGTGATCCCAGGAAAGAATTTGTATTGGCTCAAGAATAAGCTTTAAAATTTTAACACTGTGTACAAAGCGGGGGAGCCGCGGCTCCCACGGCTCCCCCCCCCCCCCAACCTGGATACGTCCCTGTCTGTGTGTAAGGTAAGGTATTACCAGTGTATGATGGAACACAGAGATACTTTAGCCGAAATTTGCCATCAAAGTTATTAATCGTGAAAAATAAGCGAGATATTTATGTCATACCCCGATGATGGAATTACATATAATATATAGGAACCACCTTAGCAATCAAGAAACGTTATAACAAGGACTGTACATTTTGTCAATTTGTCGACGTTTGAATGAATTAATTGGATAATATTGTGTGGATAGGCTATAACGACCAAATTGTGAAGATTAAGAAAATTCGAATGATGCGACCAAATCGATTACAATTTATGAAAATGAAGCGAATTAAGGAAGACTGAAAAGCAACAGAATAACTTCACGTTCGCTACGTTGCGAAAGGACATGGGTTCGAGTCCCTGTGGTGGCTGAGTTTCTTTTTTTCTTCCGGGCAGATTCCTCTTCTGTTGTTACCTTTCAATTTATATTATTCACGGCATTATTCCGCTTTCTGTTTCTGGGTTTTTATCATATCGTTTAAATCAATTATCATAGATAATGTACAGCCTCAAAAAGTAGTCAGTTTCCACAAATTATTGGCCTTTGAATCACGAGCTATCAGAAAGATTGAACATGTGGAGCTCTGATTAATTGGTTAAAATTAAATCATGTCATCAAATCAATAGCTTTTACAATTCCAAAATGCAACTACAGAACCGGGCCATGAATCTCCAGTTGACAAGTAATGTATAATGCAATAAAACAAAAATTGTAGGCCTAATGAAATTAATAAATCTTGCATCAAGACCAAAATTTTTATTCATTTTTTAATTGAAGAAAAAATTGAAGGATAGTCTGTTTTTCTATTTGAAAAGTTGAATGGACGTGGTAATATACCATTACCATGGAGGAATTACTAATTCCACATTATTACAAACGTGATTAACTTGAAGTGTCTTGTTTTCCTCACAATGGTAACAATGTTTCAGCACAATGAAAAATATGGAAATGTTATTACTGTACTAACGTTGGCTTTCGATCAATTTTCTCGGTACTGAAATTTCTGTCGCTCTGCTATATCGAAACTCGCACATGTTGAAACTTACATAGATTTTATTTTTAACACCGACGAATTATGTTGAGCACCCTGACCGCGAAATTTTTGTGTTCTAGACGACCGAACATAACATTTGAGGCATTCTGGGCTATCATTTTTTTCTTTTTCTCTCTTTTTTCTCTCTTTTTTCCCTCTTTTTCCCCATTTTTTACATTCCAAAAGGGGGGAGGGGCCGGGACCGACCCCCCCCCCAAATCCGCCCCTGCTTTTGGTGGTGTATTAGAAAGTTAAATGGTGGGCTATTATATTAAAAGATGCACTGTCAGACATAATACCCTGGAAGATCAATCCAAAAAAATCAATTAAAATTTTGAATAGTTCATTGGATCAAATAAGATAACTTCCAACTTGAAACAGACTTTTTCTAAAAAAAAATCTATAAATCAGGCAATTTATGCAAAATAATACAACAAAGGTATTAATTATTTAAGCATCCGTTAATTGGTGGGGATTTCTTTTTCCAATTTACATTTTTAATTTTACGTTAATAACTTACTTCAATATGCAAATTAAGCAATTAAGATAATGTAACTGAATTTTTAATTTTTGTTTTTGTTTGTGACAGATCTTTAAACCAAGAGATTGAACCATGGACGTGAAATTCTGAATGGATCACCACAGTTTAGCCCACAGAGACAATATTATTTACCTCATTATTTTTCATCAACATCATCATGTTAAGTCCATAATTACCCAAAAAGAACACAAAACGAATGTTTGTATGAAGAAAATTCTGTATTTAAAACAAAGAAAATGTATATTTTGGCTAAGAGGCAATATATAAAATGCTATTCAATAGTTTATAAATAAATACAGGTAGGACTAAATTAATATTAAAATATTGAAATAATAATATATAATAAGTCCTTGACAATTGTTCAATAACAAAGTTCCACAAGGCTTACATTTGACCCCGTGATATTGTATCTAAATAAGTCAAAGATGCACATCATGCAAATTCGTCCACTCTTAAAAAATATTCCTTGTTCTTCATCCTTTTCCAATGGTGGCGCCAGGATATGCCCGACGGGAGCGGGGTGAGGCGATGTCCTTGACTGAAGGGAGGGCGTACTTCAAAATTATAATAAGCAAAATGGAATTTTATGATTCATCACTTATGTGAAATTAAATTGTATGGTGTACACTGTATGTACCACCTCCATTAAGATATAAAAATTCATAATTAACAATATTAATGACATCTCTATGATTTATGCAAATGGTGGCACTAGTACCAATGAGTCATCTGTTTGGTACCAAATCCTAAACCAAATCTCTCAGTTGTTCTATCAGGCTGGTAATCATAGAAAAATACTTTTGAACAAAATCTATCTTGGTTATAATATCTATTTTGCTATACTTTTAAACAGATTTCCTGTCGGTAAGAACACGCACAATACTACCAAGCTCCCCGACTGCAACAGCCTGAAAGATACAAAGTGTTACACAACATTACAATAAGCTTAATTCTAATGTAGACGGTAAATAGAAAAATGCAATTAGATTTCTAATACCTCAAGTTTTAATAAAATTTATAAAATTATATATTATTGAATAACTATTTGACAATAAATTAAAAATAAAAAAAATATTAATGTGGTTGGTTAAACTAGTTCAGTGGCAAGGCTGACTAGGAGTAAGCCTTCTTTATGGAAATATATTCACTTATGTTAAAATTTGACTTATTTATTTGTTGCGGTTCTACTACATGGTAATTAAATTGCATTATTGCAGTTGTTAGCAAAATTTAATATTCAACCAATAACATAGAATAAAGTGTGGATGGAATTAAGTTGAATAATTATTAAACTAATAATAACAACAATCAAATAATCATAATAATACAAATAATAATAAAGGTATTTATAATGTGATTTGATCAAATCACTTTTACGGTATTGTGGGTAAGTTAAAACAATGTTATAATAGGAATTTAGTATGTGACTGATGTTAAGGCTTGGAATGGAACCTTCTTGAGAGGAAGAGTGCCTAGAATTTTTAAGAAAACTCTTCAGAGACGACAGAGCAGTTATTTCCATACAGGTCATATTTGTTCAACAGATATTTTTAGAAACATATTCTTACTTTTTCATGCCATGCGAGGAGTATACCGCAACTGTTTTCTGTAGGGCATGCAAATCCTCTGTAAATGTATTTCATCAAAACGTCTTGAGAATCTTGGTCTAGTGCATTTATTGCTTTATCAATATCTGAAGACTTGAAGGCTGTGAGAACTCGAAGAACAAGATTAAATGTCTTATCCTATATCAAGAAAAAAAAAATTCATTAAAATTATTACCAGAAAAAAGGATGATACATCAAAGTTATTAAAGTGCATCTAATCAATACAGTACTTCAATAAAATAGATTGAGGATCATAAGAACATGTAAGGTGAGGCTTATAAAGGTTAAAACCATTTTATAGTCCATTTTAATTCCTGTAATAATATTGAGAGTTTTGACATAATTGGGTAAAATTTATTTATATCTTAATTTATTATGAATATATTTTAAAGAGTCAATATCAAACAGCAGAGTTGTTTTTAGTTTATTTAGAAAAATCATGTCACTTGAACCTGCAAACCAGGATTTTGGAACTGGAATGCAAGTATCTTAAACACCAAATCACAGATCTACCTATAAAATGAATATAAATTAATTAAAAGGTTCAAAAACAGAGGAAAATTATAAATACCTTAACTGCTTGGTTTTTAGAATTTACTGGTGGGTTTTTCAGTACAGCTTGTAATGCTTCAACATTTTGCTTAGTATATAGTTGTCAAGGATTGTATGATTTAAAATACTTTGTTGGTCAAGAAATATTCTGGGTCGCTACCAATCTGACTTAGGCTGCAGTACACTGCTAAAATTATGTTTTTGCAATATCAAATCATGACATTATCATCATCAAACAGAAAAATAAAAGAATATGGAGTTTAGGCTCCCGCTGCCCTAGACACCCCTCCCCTCATAAGCATAGTGAAGGCCTAATCAAGGACCTATAATCTATTCTATGCTGGGAAGCGTAAAGCTTTGAGCTTACAGGGGCAGGATCCAGAGATGTCCGAAAGGGGCGTTTTGGGCGATCAATAATTTCTCTTTCTTTCACCCAAATCACATGTATTATCACATTAAAGGTTTAGGCCTAATAATAGAGAAAAAGCATCAATTTTGAACAGACATTTTCAAGCATGGCTAGCTTTTCTAGCTGGGGCCTACTGTAATAATGGCTGAAAATACCATCTTGCATGTAGCTTTGGCCTTTTTTGACATCCTGACTTAACTAAATTAGCACCGCCATCAATCAATAGAAAATTCAAAATTAGTGGCAAAATAGTCAAGTGCACTTCATATTTTTTCTCGCTTTTCCTCTTCTCAATATTTTCTCCCTTTTTTTAATTTTTCGGTAGGACTGATGTGGGGATCTGCCCCTGAAATCAACCCATATGTACAGTACAAAATGTTTTGCAGGGTGTCTATACTGTGTGTGATTGTATGCTACAGGATATTGTTATTTTTCTTTCATGCTTGATGTTTGGGGCTGCTAAACTTTGTGTAGGAACCTTGTTCCTCCTTGGTGTTCACCTACCTCCTGCATTTGAGGAAATAAATTATTATTATTAATATTTATTTATATTATATTATTAAAGTGCCCCTAAAGGGACATGTTTAGAAAAAATATTAAACTATTTTGAGAAAATGAGATAATATTTCGAGGGAACGAGATAATATTTTGAGAGAACGAAATAATATTTCGGGGGAACGAAATAATATTTTGGGGGAACGAAATAATACTTCGGGGGAACAAAATAATATTTCGATGGAACTAATTCATTTCAAGGCAACGAAATAATATTTTGAGGGAATGAAATATTATTTTGAGGGAAAGAAATAATATTTATAAATATAATAATATTCATAATAATATATATTTCATTCCCTCGAAATATTATTTCATTCCCTTGAAATATTATTCCGTTCCTTCGAAATATTACGCTGTTGTCGCCACTAAATGCTTTTTTCGCCGAAGGAACTACCGACGCCAAAGGCACTGTGGGCGTACCATATATCATTTCGAGGGAAGGAAACAATATTTTGAGGGGACAAAATAATTATAATTTTGAGGGAACGAAATGTTATTTCGAGGAAACAAAATAATACTAGCTACAGTATTACTGGATTCAGAAGGACAATGAGGAAGGTGCTGTGATGCTCGCATGTAGTAGGCCTACAGTTTGTGTCATTTTGTTGCGACTGGATAAGTTCATTATACAGTACTGTAATATTTTTGTATTTGATCTTTAAATGTACGAAATATTGTAAACTGAATCTCCAATTCAGCCACTGGCTGCTATGGATTTGATATATTTGTATTTTTTGTTTTTGTGAATAAAGATACCGAAATACCTATCTCAAAATAAATATGAACCATTTTTAAGACCTACATAAACCGAGTTTAACAAAACAAGAAGTTAGTACTCAGTACCAGAACTTTAATTAAACAGTTAACACAAACCAAAAGGATATCTCAATAAGAAATTTTGGATTTCTGACTCATCTGGTCCACTGGATTCTTGACCGTCAATTTGTTCGTCTTGGAATTTATTTTCATCATATTCATCCACGTCGACTTTCCTAAACATAGAACTTCCTGTATTTTTCGACATTTTAACTATATTACTGAAAAACCAAACTATAATGAACCCACGATTGACGATTGTGTACAGTACTTCCGTGAAATTTCACACCCTCGATGTCATGACCTCTCTTGGGGTTAAAGTTTCCACTTCCGCATATCCCATCGTGCTTTGAATCCTCTTTTATTTTGGGACTTGGGTCAAAAATAAGAATGGTAGGAGTTCTAATAAGATCTGATTTTATTTTGCAAATGGAATTTAATCCATGTTTGATTTATAAATCAAATGATCAAGAATTAATATTAAATCATGGATACGTATACATTTATAAGATATGTTAATGAATATCATGACTTTTGTTATGACATAATCACTGTGGTTTTGTACGCAGTACGAAACGTACACACTGGCAGCACAGTCAGTAGATAACCAAGGTTCATTGATTCAATATTATATGCCCTACATCCTTGCTAATGCTTGCTAATACTTACTAGCAAAGACCTGAGTTCAGGTCTAGATGTGTAGGTAGCAAGTGGTGTGCTATTACCTAGGCGGCTACTTCTCTTAGTCTTACTCGGCCTGCCTAGGTCAGATCTGGCCTAGCCTAGGTAGTAGTACTAGGCCTAGTACTGGCCCTACTGCCTGGGGTAGGGCCTACCCATAGAGCTATTATTATATCTCTATGGGCCTTCACCAACTGCGGCAATAGCCACTAGAGTAGCTAATAAGCTTAGTAAGGTAAATAACGTAGACCTCTAGGGTCCTACTAAATACCACACGGGACCACTCGCGACCACACGGGTGCAAAAATGATAAAAATATTACACACGAGAGTAGAAAACTACTTAATAATCAATAGAAACCAACTTTTAGTACGGTAATTATCCGAATTCCGTTAAAAATCGATGTATCTTGATTTTGATTTGTTGGTTTTCCCGTCGTGTCTCTGGTAATGTAATGCGTTAATTGTGGATCTGTAACGCATTGACGTGTCAGCTGAAATGCATTCAACCATGACCTTCATGTCTGTGTTTAATATCATCAATCAAGATAGGCCGTTATATACTGCCACGTGAACGGTAATAAACCTAAATTAAATAAATTAAAGTAGTAGTAAAGT